TTGAGGGATGGAAAGCTCTTTGGAAAGATTCTTTTTTAACAATCAGTAGCTCGTTTACTCCTCTACAAACTTTGCTCGAGACGCTTTTTATTAGCTCTTCTAAATTCGCAGCAAATTAGCTTTTAACCAGAAGCACTTCGAATTTAGGGCGTTTTTTTGTCACACCGTCGCTCGCCGAAAAACGCTTCTAAAAGTTTGATTCCTTAACCACATACCTTCATTTTTATACCGAAAGTAGAGTATGGCGAGCTGCGTCGAACCGTACAAGAGCGACGGTTCTAGCTTATACACTTTTTGAGGAAAGCTCAAATTACTGTGTCATAAGTGTCATAGCGTCAGGCTTGGACAAGCCGCCAAGCTTTTCTTTCAGTGCATATGAAATCATGGAAAGTGTGTACCAATGTGCGATGCACAAAAACACATCATACATTGTCCATGTGCATGGGATTCAACATCGCTTGAGCAATGAAGCATAGCATATGAGCAGCATGTGTATCACAATAGAATATACGAAAGAGCATTTGCATGTGCATATGAACAAGCAAATGTCCGCGAATAATACTGATCACAAAACGAATGCGATCTTCGAGACTATTGAAGCCGTGGAACAAGAAAATCGCACCACCGTTAATATAATAGATTCCCAGGCTATTAGCAACGGGCGTGCAGATGAGCAGGTGTGTATTTACGATTTGATTCAGCTTTCTTTACTCAAATCTCATTGTCAAAATGTCCACTCCTGTTGTTGTCGAGTTCTAACCAAAGAATATGCAGGGCTATCAAGGGAGGATGAATGTAGGAGGTGGGGATAATGTTCTGAAACTTGCCATAGCAATCCGACGGTGTGAATCATTCGCATTCATTCCTTACGTCTTCGATAATTCCTCAATAATTCTTAATTGCCAAAACCACTCAGCTCTTCAAGCACTGAAAGTAATTGATGTTTCAATTTGAAGCACCAACACTCATGGCGAAAGTGGAAGATCGTTACTGGTCACGATAAGAAGAGACGAGTGTCGACGAAAGATGTTAGCATTCCAGGTAAGCAGCCCGCAATCACGCTTGATGACAGAATGACGAGCGGGCGACGAAAAATGGTGAGGAAATACATTGAGATTCTGGGTGAGTCACCGTACAAGTTTGATGAGCTGAATTCGATCTCAAGTAAAGAAGCAAAAGTTGATCAGAAACAAGTGACAGTAGAAGTTGAAGATGGCGATAACACAAACTATAACTCTCTGTCAAAAAATCATCGACTGGTAGAAGTTATCGATGTAGAACAAAATCCGAAAACTACCGGCGCTGTCAGCGATATCAAATACGATCTTAGTCCCATTGTGGAATACGCCGCAGAGCCTTTGCTGCCGCTCGCTGAGGCGTGTGCTCCGCTGGACAGTATCATCCACGATTTATCCGTCTACGTTCAGCTGGCACTCGACGGAACTCCGATTCAGCCACCCGACGGACTGACGATCGACGAGAGTGCTGCGATTCGCCTGTACACGATCGAGTGGGAAGCACCGCATCGAAGTCTTTATTCCATGCTCAATCAAACCCTCAAAAATGCCGATCGCGAGCATCTTCATCCATACTTCAAGTATCTCAAACTGTTAATCACTGCTCTAGTCAAAATTCCATGCATTCCACCGCAGACCGTCTGGCGAGGGGTAAACAAAGATTTGAGTGCAGATTTTCCTGCCGGTACCCTCGTCACATGGTGGGGGTTTTCATCGTGTACGATTGCGCTGACTGTGCTAGAGAACAGCATGTATTTAGGCAATATGGGCGATCGGACGCTCTTCTCCGTCGAAGCCGTCAACGGCCGAACAGTACGTGCTCATTCGCAGTTCGATAGCGAAGATGAAATTCTTCTTCTGCCCGGCACCTACATGGAAGTTCAATCACAGTTTAGTCCAGCGCCCGATCTCCATGTCGTCCACTTAAAACAAATGAAACCAGCCCAGACACTTCTCGAAGTTCCATTCGAAGGTAATCTTATATATCAAGACATAGATGGACATCTCATCTATTCATCTTTAGGTGCTCACCTCTATCCACCGAAGAAGGAAAAAGTGCCATGGTACAAGAAACGACGGACAATTTGTGAACTTAGTCTGCTGCTCATTCTCTGCCTCACCGGCATCGTTGCGGGTTCAGTGCTCGGCACAAGACGTTCGCCACCATCGAGTATGTGACAAAACTGTTGTATAAAAGAACGTTGTGTTTTTCATGCTGAGGCTAAAGACGCGGGAGAAGCGGGCTTGACATAATGTCAAAAGCTGATACCGGTACTACGTCCATTAATAATTTTGTGAAAGAAGATTAACCTGAAAAATTTTCTTCTTTGAGCAAGATCTGGTAGTTTTAAGTTCGTGATCAAAGAGGAACTGTCGGATCTATAGCTCCAGTGTGTCACGTTTATTGAAGA